TCATAAATTTCTTTGTTTCTTGACCCCCTCGCCCTTCTGAGTAAAAGCAAAGGCTTCCTTAAAGTCTTACATCCCTTAGTGGATCCTTAAACGTTTTAATTGTAAAAGGTGTGGGCAGGATTTAGTGGTATATTTTCTTTTTATTAGAGCGCTTTGTTTCCCCTTCACTCAAAGCACCTTTATGCAGCTAATAAATGTTATCCGTGTATGGTTTCTAATACCAGTGCAGAGGCCACTTTTTGATACTTCTGTAGGACCAGCCACGTGACGGGAGCGGCTATGGTGACACTCTGTTCTAGCAGTAAATTCATGACAGCCGTTGTATTTTTCTTCCAATTTTTTTTTTAGTGTGGTAGCTGCTTCGTAAATTTCAGATGAATCCTAGACATGTCAGTGATGAATCTGAAATTCACTTTTTTTCAGGTTGTTTCATTTTTTCTCACCGTGTCGGCTTTGAAAAAACATCGCTTTACCATCATTAAGCCAGGATCACTTGAAAAATGTTCTTCTATCTCCCTCTATGCTGAAGAGTGACATTAAGAGGTTGTTTACTGCTTTTGTGAAGCCTTAGTGTTCTCTTTGGTGGTCCTTCTTATATCTGGGAGAGATTCTTCCTTGGCCTTTTTATTGTTTCTATTTCTGATGATTGTGAAGAAGTGTATCTTAATGTAACTTTTGTCTAAGTTTCCCCCCCCCACCACCTTAAATCTGTTTTCTTAAACCTATTCAACCAAAGATAAATCCTGTGTCTTTGGTTTAGCCAGGAGAGTAATCCCATCTGGGTGCAAAAAAGGAGTGCTGCTTTGGCTGCATTTCTGTTGAAGAGGTTTTCAAAGGTTTAATCGAGCTATTTTTGTTTTGTTCTGCCAATATAGCTGCATGCTGAGAGTTGAAACAAGGCCATAGTAAAGGAGCATAAAATGAAAGCCAATTAAAAGTCTAACGCACACATCTTAGGCTATTATTCTGTGTTGCGTTTCAGGCATCATTCCTCATTCAAGCAAGCGTACCCGTTTTCAGCTGATACTTGCCACGCTCCTTTTCGCCATCTCTCTCTACGTTATCTTTGCAGTGGTATCTGACCACTAGAACATTTTGATTCTGTTTTGGGCCCTAGAAGAGCGTAATCCAGGCTTTAGATGTGGCTTGAGCTGTGAATGCAAGAGCCTGAGGATATGCATCCTTGCTGTGTTGTGGTCAGGACTGCTGTATGAGTAGGTACATCTGTGTAAGGCAGCATGCCAAACTAGTGAGTCTTTATGCGTTCCCTGCTAACACGTTCTCTGGGTCAGTGCCAGGCCTTTCTTGTAATTCATAATTTTTTGCTTCCAGTATCCCTTTGGCCTGGAAGCTAGGGGGATGATATGCATGTGTGCACGCGAGCACTCCTTCGTATGAAAAAAATGAAACATTTAAAATCTTTTCAAAGATTTTGGCTTCAATTTTAGTTGAAGATTAGTGCCAGTATGATTTCATTTGACTTTACTGCTTGCCTAGTGAAAGTACATAAGAGGTAAATATATCTCAGACGTGTGTAGCTCATGTGTGCATATGTGCTATTCATAAAATTTTTCATAGTTTGTCGCTTTTTCTTCAAATTGAACAAACGATACTGCCTAGTTGTCGCAACGGATATTAACAGGGATGTGAAGCACGCTGAATTTAGACAGCAACCAAACATGTGGTCATAAGGAAGCTTTCCATGCAGTGAACACACCGATAGTAAGGAGTCTCTACTTTTGGAGAAGAAAATTATGCAAGTGGAAGAACCTTTGAAGGGAAAAATCTTCCCTGAGGAAAAGGAGATCTTTGGAGGTTCTGTCGTTGGCGGTCAGAGAGGGAGAACAGTCTTACCTCCAGGATTTCTGGAAGTTGAGAAGCATGCATAATTAAGATTTGAAAACTCGAGAGTCTTGTTTATGCTAAAATGATCAGGCTTTCAGAGAAATAATACTCTATAGATGTGCTGGGACTGGGTAGAAAGAGTTATGTCATAAAAATACAGAATTGATACACAGAGACCAGGTAGACTTTATTTATTGACCGTTTACAGCCCTAGGACATAACTTAGGATAGCAACATGCAAGAGAAGTTGGCCTTGTCAAAGGGTCTGCTGTGTAATCTTGAAAGGCAGCGTAAGAAGGACTTCTACATAAAATAAAGTGCGGAAAACGAAGGTGTGAACAGCAGAAATCAATAATGTGATTTTTCTCTAGATATTGCAGTGTAATTGAAATTCAGTAGTTAAGGAAGATTGTATTTCTCAAGTAGTACTAGAAGAAAGGTGAGGGAGCGTGGGGCGTGTTGTCAGTGTGTCCCTCCTTTGTAAGTGTAAGTTTGAGAGGTTGCTTTACTGAGCAATTCTGAAACAGCTAAAAGATACAGCTGTGGAAACCAGAAAAATGCAAGAGACGTGTTAACGCTGTAATTTAGGCCGAATCTCTTTCAGGACTCCTCTTTCTGTACATACATCCAGGCATATTTTGACTCCCTAAGAGCACACATTGTGAAAAATTCTGGGTAGAGTAATGAACAATATTATATAGTTTGTTTTTCGTCCCGTAAGTGCATGTTTTTTGATGCATCAGAACTTGGCACGCTCTTTGCTATTACAGGTAGCAAAAACCTGTGTACTATTTACCGTAGAGCAGAGCCCAAGACGTGCACAAATAGGGCTTTTCATGGTCCTTCCCTGCCATGGCCACCAGTGGGACTGTTGTCTATTGCCTGTTGTCCCTAACCAGGTAGGAGGCCTGTCAGCCTCCTGTCAGCCACTATCACAGATGTGTAAGCATAAAATTAGAATCGTTAAAGCCCGTCACAGGCAGAGCAGAAAGCGAGATGCAGAGGTTTGCTGCCGGTGACTCGGTTACGGGTACATGATCGTTCAGATAATACCTTTGAAAAACACATCTTAGGCTTCCAAGAATGTAGGTTGCCAGCTGAATATAGGCCTAGGTGCTTTGAGGAATCACTCCCTTGCCCTACTAAATTTTTTGTGTATCCTTGTGTCAAAAGGTTATGAAGCCTTTTCTGGCTGTCATGTATAGTAAACATTTATTTGTCCATTCTTTCCCCTTTGCACTAACATTACCAGTTCAGGTAGACGGGCAGGGACAGTATTACCATGTAGGTGTGGAAGTCTTGCTCTGGTATGGTTTCATACAGTGGCATTTTAGTAAGAGAGATTTTTATGAATACGATTGCTTGGTAAGTTACATCAGTGAAATCCCAGTAGGATTTTCACCATATGGTCCTGTGGCTCCTATCCGAACAGCCGCTGTAAAGCCTATGCTATGTTTGAGATTTTAATGTTGTTTTCTACTAGCGTAGCAATAGCTGTCTGAGGCTCTTTGCATTGGTTACTGTCACTCTGAACTAACGGGGAGGTGAGAAAGGAGAAAAAGGGGCTAGTGGTGGACAAACCCACACTGGGTGGAATATCCTCAACAAAAAAATATTATCAAGGTGGTCCATACAGGATGACTTAAACCTTAGCCAAAAAGGAGGATATAACTGGTTTAATTCAGAAGCAAAGGCAAAGGAAAAGCAAAAGAACTTGGGCATCTTTGGTTGCCTTGATGCAGTTAGACGGGAAGGGGTGAGAGGAGACGGACTTTGGCAAGTAGCTTGTAGAAAATCCCAACGAGAACATAC